CGGCACAAGGGAAAACCACAGGCTGAATCTCCCTCCACCACTCAGCACACTCATTACCCGCCCCCTCTTCCAATAGCAAATGTCTGTACCCTCCTTCTCTATCTCTCTGCTGCAGACAGACTGCAGACAAAAGTCATCTCTTTGAGCAGAGAGACCAGAGGTTTGAAAGAGCTCATAGGTAAATTTAAATATCTAATTAGGTTAGAAAAAACTGCAGGCAAGCACAAGAAATACCTCAGCTGTAGAAAAAAAAAGCAATTATGGGAAACAGGACTGTTAGAAAATGCTGTGCTGCATATCCCTGTCTTTTCTTTGGTCTTCTGTATTTGTATTGGTGTAAGGGAGTCATGGGACAAAGCTTGCAGGAGCAGGATGGCGTGTGCAACGCTGAGGGATGCTATTCCATTCATCTCCAGCGCAAGACCTTCAGGGAGTCCTGGAGGAGCTGCAATGATAAAGGGGGAAACCTGGCTACCATTAAAGGACCAGAAGAAGCTTCCATGATCCATGACCTCCTATCGTCAGGGGTCAGACGTGGCTCCCGGCCCAGAATCAGGTTGTGGATTGGTCTTCAGCGACAACCTCGGCAGTGCTCGGCCACGCGCCCTTTGAGGGGCTTTACCTGGATCACTGGGGATCAGGAAACACAGTACACGAACTGGCAACGTGACGACTTAGCCAATGCTTGTGCTGCTCCTCGTTGTGTGGTCATTACCTACAACACGGCTGACAAAAGTGGCAATGACAAGAACAACTTCAAATGGCTCGATGGATCTTGTGCAGTGGCCGTGGAAGGTTTCCTCTGCCGCTACACCTACCAAGGGATGTGCCCAGCTCTTCAAAAAGAAGGAGGGGGTCCTGCACTCTACACCACCCCGTTTGAACTGGCAAGTACTATTCTTACTCACATCCCTTTTGGCTCAGTGGCAACTCTCCCTTGTCCCGATGGAGACAAGGAAGACCAGTCAGTATTGTGCATGCTGAGAGAGGATGGAAGTGTTGGCTGGTCGAAAGATGCACCGCTCTGCACTGACACTCCGATGGACTGGTGCAAACAGGACAATGGTGGCTGTGAGCACTACTGTGTGAACTCAGATACTCATTACTACTGTGAGTGCTCTGAGAATTATGTTCTGGCAGAAGACGGAAAGACCTGCCAGCTCTCGGATCCCTGCCATAGCGCCAACTGCGAGTTTGAGTGCGAGTCCACTCCTCAGGGACATCGCTGTAAATGCCCCGAGGGGTACCTCCTGTCTGGTGATGGTCAGAGTTGTCTTGATATAGATGAGTGCTTGCAGAAACCATGCCCGCAGGAATGCGTCAATGCACCTGGTACATTTGAGTGTAGATGCAATGAGGGCTACCTTCTGTCTGAGTTTGGAGAATGTGTGGACGTGGATGAATGTATGGAAGGAAAGTGCGTTCATATCTGTGAGAACTTGCCTGGTTCCTACACGTGCCGCTGTCATGACGGATTCTCTCCACTCGGAGAAGATTCAGAGCAATGCGAAGATATCGATGAGTGCAAAACTCCAGACATTTGCGAGCAGGTGTGCAAAAATTACGAAGGTGGATTTGAGTGTCAATGTGAGGAGGGTTATATGTTGCAAGAGGACAACTACTACTGTCGGCCTGTCAAAGAGGATGAACACTTGATGGCTGAATCAGCTGATGCAACACTGAATGATCCCAGCTTGCCTGAACTGATGACAGATGCCAACCTTCTGGAATCGCTAACAGATTCCCCAAGCATAGAGTGGCATCTGACTTACCTGAGCTGGTTTACGGAGAAGACACAGGAGGGAGATGTGACCACACAGGAACCTGATTTAATTGAGCATGCATCTCCGAATTCACCTTCATCAAACTTTTTGATGGATACTACAACTTCAGACAATTCTCATCAAGAGCATGCACATGAGGAGGAAATATCAATAGCAGCTGGTGATACAGCAGATGTAAGGACTTCAGGAAACAAAGGACCCTCAGAGGCTTCGACATCTGTGCCAAAGAGAAAATGGGATTTTGTCATGCTCACTCCTCCAACATTGCAAATACCAGAAGATGCATTGGCATCGGGAACAGAACAGCGTCCAGGTGACAGGAAGAAACACGACAAAAGCTGGCTGCTTGTGGCACTGCTGGTACCACTATGTGTTTTTATTGTGGTCATGTTAGCGTTAGGCATTGTTTATTGCACGAGTTGTGCTGTAGAGCCACGGAGCAAAAGCATCACAGACTGTTTCCGCTGGACCACCACCTCCAAGCCTGAAAAATCAAGCACAGCAAATTCTCGAGCTTGAGTAAACATGACTTAAAAAAAAAAATAAATAAATAAATTAAAAAAAATCAGCAATGACCCTGGACTTCTTCAAGCTGTTTTGGTGTGATAACACTGATGTCACTTTGGTATTCTGTATGATCCTGTGGGATATAAGGGCAAAATAGTCACTAGGTGCACAATTCAACATTTAGACATTCTTTTCAGACAATGGAGAGAACATCAATTATTTTCAATGGAAGTGGAGCAGTAACCCCCAAACTGTATAAAAGAAACATTTTGTGGAAAGTGGGACATAGCAAACAGAATTTAGCATGCATCTCTTTTTCATATAATACAATGAATGATCATTTTATGAAGCCTATGAGTAGAACTAAAAAAAACATATAATATCAACATCTTAAATGTATTTGTTCCACTCGCACAGTTTATGCTACAGCACCCCCAACAGTGAGGTATGCAACTACAACTGTTTGTCTAGAGACTTTAGGCTGTTTTGATAAAGACATTTACATATTAGAGATGAAACAGGTCTAAGTGCATCAGTTTAACTAGCAGTTACTATGACTTCATTTAATTCAGGAAAAGTTGTTTGTCTAATGGAGACTATAACGTTGCGGGATTTGGATCAAATATACAGTAATACTGGAGATACCCATGTTATTTTTATTTTAGTATTTTCACCATTAAGACAGATTATAACAAGAGAAAAAGAAAACAAGAAATAGAAACAGAGATCAGTAATAGACATGAGCCTACAGAAACAGTTTTGCACAAAACACTTTTGGCTTCAGATAAATAGAAAATGTAAGTAAGCAAGAGAATAAAAAGTATGCCAACAGGATTTTTATTGTTATTATTCCATAATAATATATAACACATCAACAACCATTTGTTTCAGCACGCAATTTATGTTTTTTTTACTGTATCCCACTAAATTGTTTAACAAATACTAGTAATATTCAACTAAATCTCACTTGCTGTCACCAATAAAATTTGATCAACACTTTTTCCAGTTCAAATTCGCGCCTGCTTTGATAGCAGCGAGGAGAATGACAGCTGGCTCGGCCGCTTTGTGTTGTACTGGCACAGTCCCACCAGTAGTAGTCACTGTCTGATATTTGAGTTTTTGTATGTCTTCTACAAACTAACGTGATTTTAATAAAAGCCGAACTTGCACTAGGTCATAGTAGTTTTTTTCTAATCACGTGTTTTTCTCTGTGGCTAATTCACCAAAAGATTGTTTTTCCCTTTTTGAAATATTGTAAAAGTGAGCCATTTTGGAGTCTAGTGGAGCAACAAAAGCGTGAAACGGTCAGTTTGTTTACCACGTTAGGATTGTTGACGGCATATCATTATCGTATAATAACCGACATGATCAGCCGAAATATTTGTCTGAATGTATTTAAAACATCTGTTTTTAACAGTTACATAACGCATTCCTGTCTACATGTGGTCTGGGAAGCTGATCCATAAAGGAATTGTTTTAGATCGAGTGGCGCGCAGAGAATCCTTCGAAAATAAGCATAACGAACAACAACTTACGTTAGCAGTGTAAATAAACTGAATTGACACATGAAAAACGAGATTTCCGACGAGGATGGGATTCGAACCCACGCGTGCAGAGCACAATGGATTAGCAGTCCATCGCCTTAACCACTCGGCCACCTCGTCGTATATGTAAAATACATGTGCTCTTACCTATAAAAATTTCCACTCCACTGAATATAAGTACATAAAACCTTAACTTGCTAAATTGTTGTTGAAGCACCTTTGTCTCCGTGACATTTTGCTGAATCAGTATCACACACCTGTTAGTGCTAGTTACCTGACAGATATAGCGAGTACACTGCTTCATTTTGTACGTGATAGATAAAGACATAACAATAGATAAGTATCGCTTATTTTACGTGGTTGAACCATAGACTGTATAAAAACAGGGTTGAACAAATGTACGGGAAAACATTTTTGCTTGACATTGGTGTTGCCTTAATCACCTGCTGCCCTCTGCTGGTCAGCCGGACTACTGGCCACATTGATTTATATAATAGGCAGCACATTTACATAATAGCATATAAAGGCACATCATAGTGACAACTACAAATTGTCTGTCATTATTTGTTTTTATAAAGTTTTGTGCACAAATGTGTATTTCTAACTGCTTAGTTCTTTAGGTTTTTTTTTTTTTTTTTTTAAAAGTTTTTTTTTTTTTTTTTTTTTTTAAATACGTCTATTTTATATGTACTTGTGTATCATCAACATGTATTGAGATGTTTTAGGACATGTTCAAACATGTATTACACATGGCTATATATGTGTTAATATATGAAATTGTTACCATTTCTAATGTTTTTACTTCATATGACAATATATTTCACGTGTGTGTGTGCGCACATATATAACACATGAATATGGGTTTCATAAACTGTTAAGCTTCCATCCAGAACTGTGTGTTCATCTCAATAACGCTGAGCTCTTCTGCTCTATTTCTGGATCAAACCGATGAAGACTGAGCGGAAACTGTTGCTCAACGGAGTTTTGCTTTCTAACATCATGTGAGTGTCTAGAGGTTTAATCTCGGGACTTTTTAGTCATGTGTAAGTTAGCTAATTAATGTTATAGTAATGATAATTACCTCGTACATTTATTGTGGCATAGTCTGTCAACAGTTTGAATCTTTCCGTCCACATCTACGATTACTTACCATTTGAATCTTGAGAGATCTACTTAATTTAAAGGTCTGAAAGGTTTATGAACGTTGTCTTCCACCATGTTTACAAGATAAAGAACAGGAAACGTCTCAGAAGAACAGGCAGACCCATAAAACTCAGCACACTGTAAAAGTCAACCAATGAAACAGAGGCTTTTGTAGGCTTGGCCAATCACGCAATGAATATACTAGCCCCGCCCCGCTGACCATGTGAAGACTTGCAGCGAATTTCAACCAGTTCAAACTGTTTAGGCGCGCGCGGCAGCGTTAAGCTGGTCTTAGAGACTTTAAAAAAATCATATATAATACAGTGGCTTGTTTATTTATTTAAGTATTTTATAAAATAATGGCTACTCCTCCCAAGAGATTTTGTTCAAGCCTTGACGCTGACCTCAGTTTCGAAAAAAGGGCATTGAAGATCTCAATAGAGGGAAACATTGGTAAGTTGGATTAATTTTGGTTTAATCAACAAAATAATATACATAAAATAATACGCACTTAATATATTACCCAAGTGTTGATAACACATTCATTTTTATTAATGATCAAGTAATATGCTTGAGAGCTTTTTTTTGTATTGTTAAATACAGTAACGTTAGTGTTGTTGGCGCCAAATACTAACGTTAGGTCTATTTTGTTGAGCGAGCCTTCACAGCCATGTATTATTATTAGTATTTGACTGAATTGTTTTTAAATAGTCTTCTTGCCACACGTTTGGTAATAGAATCGCAAAAAATATTTTTCCTGAAACATTTATTAAAAACTGCAACTGTTGACAGCTAAATCATTATATTTTATGACATCCAGACTATGATTTAAAATAATAACAACAATAAGAAACATTTAGTACCATAATGCTTTAATAATAAGTCAAACTTCTACAACAATTGGTTTAAGCATGCTTCTGGCAATTAATGCCAGACATAAACATGTATCAGGGTTATGACTTTGTTATCTTTGATAATGATGCAGAACACAAATTATGATTGGTTGTATTGATGTTTTGTATTTTAAAACATATCTGTGCAACAGCGGCAGGGAAGTCAACTTTTGTGCGTTGTTTGGAGCGGGCCTCAGAGGAGTGGGAGGTCATACCAGAGCCCATTGGGAAGTGGTGCAATGTACAAACCACAGAGAACGAGTATGAGGTACAGTATGTCCCTCCGTATACAAGATATTTTATTAAGGAAGAGTCTTCAAACTCAGTCTCAAATGTTAATGTGAGTGATCTTTAATAACACATCCCCTTCTATCCCTGTAGGAGCTCAGCACGTCCCAGAAGAGTGGAGGCAACCTGCTGCAGATGTTATATGACAAGCCCAGTCGCTGGTCTTACACTTTCCAGACCTACGCCTGCTTGAGTCGTGTCCGTGCACAGCTTCAGCCTCCTTCTGCCAAACTTCAGCAGGCAGAGCAACCGGTCCAGTTCTTTGAGCGCTCTGTCTACAGCGATCGGTACATACATTAAACAGATTGTCTGAACAATTTGGAAAAGAGTTTAAATATGGTGTTAAACTGAGAAAAAACAAAAACTAAAAAGTCTTTTTAATTCTCCAGATATGTGTTTGCCTCTAACCTCTTTGAGTCTGGAGATCTGAATGAGACCGAGTGGGCCATTTATCAAGACTGGCATTCGTGGCTCCTCACTCAGTTTGAGTCCCAGATTGAGCTTGATGCCATGATCTATCTTCGTGCTGATCCCGAGGTACCACGCAGCTTCTTACATGGTGCAAGGTTCACCTGTAGTAGTATAAAAGTGACGTAAATGTGAGAATTTTATGATGTATTGATTAAACACATGATCTGCAGAGGTGTATGCAGCGTCTTCAGTTCAGAGGACGAGAGGAGGAACAAGGGATTCCCCTGGATTACCTGGAGAAGCTGCATTATAAGCATGAGTGTTGGCTGTACAATCGAACCACAAAGTTAGTGATCAACTTACTGTCTGAAACCTGTATTTGAACTGTTTTTCGATGTTTGAATATCTAAATGGGTATCTTGTCATATACAGGTTGGATTTTGAGTATCTTAAAGACCTTCCAATACTGCTCCTGGATGTTAATGAGGATTTTAAAAATGACAGAATTAAGCAAGAAGGTATCATTGATAAGGTACGTATATAATGGCAAAAATGGCAACGTTAGTTTTGCCTCATAGTAAAATGTTTACATAGTAAATAAGTTTTGCACTTTTTTTTTTCTTTCAGGTGAAGGAGTTTTTGAGCACCCTCTAGCCTACAAATATACATTGATTTGTGTCAATCATGGAAACTGGTGATTTATCACTATCTGTATTTATGTGTGGTCACATTAATGAATTTGTGATTTTATTAAATTTTTTATCGGATTTTATATTTAGCTTGTTGTACATATGTATTTCGTTGTATATTAAAACATCATTTTTACAAAACAGTTTTAAACTCTTCTGTAATGGACAAACAAGATATGCAGTTTGAAATAACATCTGCAGAGATTATTATTTATGTGCAGTTTGTGATGCGATCTGAAGACTATTCTGTAAGTGAAAAGTTGTCAGTTAATATTACAAGATTCCCACAGCCATGAAAAAGCTGGGAATGTCAGCGTTTACAAAAAAGAGACATGGAAATGAATAAAATCCTAAAAAATTTTCTTGTTATTCTCTATATTTTGTCTGCTGAGTGCAGCCTATAAAATTATATTTTAGCAAAGAATCTTTTCCCTGTAATTACAAGCAACTGGAAATGTAATGTAAATGAATTGGTCAAATGTGTGGGAAGAATATATGCTGAAAGAAGTACAGCTTGAATAGAGGGAAAAAAATAAAATGGTTTCATAACCATTAATTTCTGCAGATTTAGACAATTCTCTACACTTTGCTTTATGACTAGTTGCCCAAACTCTTGCTCCTGTAATACAGGCTGTCAGATCGCTGACTCACTCACCAATGAGAACCTGCTGGCTCATTCTGCGTTTTTGAGTTCATCCTTGTAATTAAGCTTTCGTAATATTCAGCTTTCATGGTCAATGTGTGCAACCCATTGAAGACCGGTTTTCAGGTTAATTTTGTCTAATTTTAACAGGTTAATTTGATCTCATTATTTTTCCCATTTTAACCTTTAAACCTTAAAATTATCTGTTCAAATCTTAAAATTGAACAAAGGTGTCACTGTTTTTTTTTAATGTTTGTAAATGTCAAAAAAGCTGTAATGATAAGTGCACGATGTTGAGTGTACGTGAACATGAATGCATGTGCTTACATTAATTTTCAATACCATAATCATGGTATATACATGTATGTCAATCTAAGGTTGTATATGTATTCATATTTTAGTCACTTAAGTGAAGAGTCAACAAAATGTCAAACTTTGTTAATGACATGAATTCACCAATATTTGCAGTGCAAACTTTGAATTAGGATATTAATGCAGGAGAAAGTTCGAATATCTCCCCTAGTAGTTTTCAGTTTCACCTGCGACTCTCAATCACAATAGCATAAATGTTTTAAGGCATAAATCATTTTTTTCTATGAATCAAAGTGACTCACAGCTTCTATACCAATACAAAAATGGGAAAGTATGTTGAAGAATATGAAAAAAGTATTTCCATGCAAAACTAAACATTCCCAGAAAGAAAGTACAGTATTGCCACTAGATAAAATATATTTTGATCTCTACTCCACATTTTATAATGTTTGCACAATATTAGATACTTATCAAAATAAACTACAAGTCCCATAACTAAATCTTTCCCAGAATTCCGGGTATTGCTTCACCCAGGTCGGTGGCGCCCTCCTCTAAACGTACTGATATTGACACAGCTGTCCTAACATGTTAAATACGTGTTGCCAAATATCGGACGCAGAGTTGACAGACTTTTAACTGTCAACACATTAGATATTATATTAATAAAAGAATTCGACAGTGACCGACTATTCTGATGCATCTTGCATTGCATGACAGTAAACATGACACCTCTAAAATTCACAAAACTTCCTAAATATGATTCTGTAAACAAATCAACCTCAACTCTCTCGAAAAAGACAAAAATAGGCGTATCGAGAGGGCGGGAATTTGTGACAAGCGTGTCCACGTCCAATCGCCTTTACTAAATGATGTTTCCTGGCGTTAAATCTTAAAGCCCTCTTGTAAACCAACCTTGACGTCGCGTGCTTTCGGTCGAGTAGCGTGTGTTGCGGCCAATCGGGTTCCAGAATTTAACTCTCAAGCCCAATAGCCTTCGCATATTTTGAACAGGGGCGGGACCATACACAAATGGAGCGAAGAAGGGTAGGTTGTTAGAAAGTTAATGGCTTGGGGGAAAGGGATTCTCTTCTCGCTTCAGGAGAGTTTGAGGGTTTTTCTGAAGTAAAACGTAATTATTTTATAACAGTATAACCCCAAAGAAAGTGAAGAGACAACATTACCTTCACAATCAGACGTATTATTTAGGAAAGTATGCAGGATGCAGTAGCCGGGACGGCAATGCTGACGGACGGCTTCGAGGACGAGATTGACTCGGTGACTCCGCGTTCCCCTGCGTTAGGGATGGGGGTTGGCGCTACACCAGGAGCCGGACTCGGGGGCCTCGGGATCGGCGTCGGTGGCAAGAAAGTCCGCTTGTTCGGCGAGGCTGGCGGGCCCACCACAGACAGACTTGATTTCAAACTCACAGCGGCCGCGGTGTTATCGTCAGGCCCCGGATCCGGCAGCGACGAGGATGAGGTGTCTGAGGTGAGAGCGAGTCAGCCAGCAGGAAAGTGTGTGTGTGTTAGCTCACATGCTAACTCCAGCTAGCCTTAACAGGCTTAATTCCCAACCCACCAAAACCCTGGAATTAATCACCTCATCTAAAGAGGCCGACTTATCACGTCCCATTCTTGGCAATATTAATACAACAACACTCTTGCGCGCAGCGCCGTTAGCAGCCATTTCAGCTGCGTTTTTCGCGACCCACGTTGCCAGTTGCGTTTCTAAATAGCTCAAATTCAGGCGAGTTAGCATAGCTTAGCACGGGCTCAGAGACGAAGGCTGCGATTTGGGCCTAAAGAGAACATCAGGGGGCAACGCCGTCGTCTGCTAGTTAGCCATCCCGAAATCATTCCACCGCCTTCAGCCACTTGTCACCCCAGTCTACGCCCTTTAAAGTGTATCTCGCCACTCGTCGCGTCTAACTGACAGTCAGTTTGAAGGATCTAGAAATGTCGCTAGCCTGGAAGCTAAGTGGATCTTGGTACGTAACTAAATATTAGCTGTTTAGCAAAGCTTATCTGCGTTCCTCGCCAGGCCTTTGCACTGTGTTGGTAACTTATGCTCTGGCTTGGATCTTGACATCTGTGTTATTTGTGAGTGCAGATGCAAGATGTTACAACGTTCACATTAACCTGAGTGTCAGCACTAGCACTAGGGCTTAAGTAAACATATCTCCACTGCAGCTTCTGAAATTTCACAGGACGCAATGTTAAAACAGCAAGATTTAAGTTGAGATATTTTCTTCCTCTGTCAGTGGAACTATCATTTGCTATTATGATAATGAAGTGTGGCGCTGGGTTTCAGGGCGACTTGTCATGCGTGTTTGTCGTCATACATCAAGATGCACCTGTTAGGTCCTGCAGATGTTTAATTCTCAATCCCACTAAGGAAGTTTTTCTAAAACTGCAGCTACTTATAGAATCAAGCGTGTACTTTCATTTTATCAAACAGGATTCACCTTTGTTGACACATGACAGGCCTTTTCCAGACAAGAATTGCATGATGAAAAATTAATGCATACTTGTTGGGGTGGGTGATATGACCGAAAGCAATCATGATACGAGTCATTTTATTTCATGGTAACATTATATCACAATACAGTTGTTTTAGTATATGATAAGGATGTTGCGATTATCAATATTTTAGTTGGAATTGAAATTATTCTTAATGCCAATTTTGATATCACGGCAAATACTAACCTAACATAAAATGTTCTCATTCTGAAGACAAGCAAATAGTTTGTAATTAAAGTAAAACTATTTATGAGCAATAGAACAGACACAAATGAAATAAGTGCTTAAGTAGATTGCTCTGTAGCATGCAAATACCAAATTGTTAATTTTTTCTAAATACATTTTATTGTGAACATTTCATCCATGCATATGTTTCTTCACTTTTTCTTTCTTTTTCTGTTTTTTTTTTTTTTTTGTAAGATGCTTTGACCTTATGTTTAATCAAAATGGATCTTCTGGTGAAAACTACAGGCTTCTGTCTGGTGACGTGTTCAGGACTTCTCCAATCATTTAATCCCCTTTAACTCCGACCCTGCAAGATTTTGTTCATCTGCTTCCACTTTTAAATGCAATGCCGACATCTCAAAATCCAATTAACAACTGATGCAAAGAACCAAGTCCCATCCTACATTTTTCCATTTTTGATAATCATTGCACTCGGATGTGTCACAAAATGGAAGAAAAGATCACCGCTTACACTTCATCGTGACTTTAAACTGACAAGTCTTAAAAATGTGTGCAGATGATAGGCTTTCATGGTGTCACGTATCATAACTGCGATCTCTACCAAATTTCTGCAGGGTTATCGTGTATACCAGTATATCACTCACCCCTAAATAGTTGCTTGACTACCAAGCATGCAGTCTTGTTTAAAAATGTATGTTTTGTTGGTTGCAGATAAACCATAGGCCTTTATAAAAGTAAATGACTGATGTCAAATTGAGTTCTCGGGGGCCAACAGGCTTGCAAACATATATGCTGTTGTATTTCAGAGCTGCATGTGATTCCCCGCCCCCTGTCTGGAGTACAGGGGTGTGTCTGTTGCCTTTTATAACTTGTAATGGGTGCCCCCCTTGTGTTGTTGGTATTTGTTTAGAATTCAGGGGGAGGTGTATTAAAGTCAGCGGAGGTAGACTGAGATGATGACAGGCTCAGGTAGGACCCGCATTCCCACGAATTCCAGCATTCTGCTTCCAGTTCCTGATAGGTCACCATGTGTCATGAGTCAGGCTGCCCTATGAACTTAAATTAGACTAAATGTCTTTAGAATTATGTGTATGAGAAACAAGTTTAGTCATTCAACCGAGAGTATAGCTGAATCATAATACTCAATCTGACCTGGATGCTGGATCATGTGATAAGTTGTTACATCCATGAGATTACAGAGCAATTGAATGCATTTTTAGTTGTATTTAAATTCTTGACATTCTCCTTGCTTGTTTTAGTCCTACATGGAATTCCGCAGTTGTTTGTAGTCATAAATTTGCATAGCCAGGTTCAGTCTTGTAGCTTATTTGTGTTGCTTTAAATTGACATTCAGACTTGTTCTCCCTCTATTGCAAGCTATAATGTTAAAATGTCATGGAAATTCTATTAGTAATATACATTTTGTTGTTGGACTCCGTTTTAATGACTCCATGTGAGTGTGAAGTTTTTAAAAAGATTAGTCTGCTTCTGGGAAGCCTTTATATGTTCTACATGTACAGGCACATAAGTGATATTCTGGGTTCATTCAGAGACTCTGTTAAATCAATATCAGAGTCAGACAAATGTCAGATGAAAAGAGCAGCATGCTTGTTGTAGAAGACAATTGCCCTTTTCTGCCCTCATGTTAAAATGCTTTTTCTTATGAGAAGAGAAAAAAAGCATAGCGTTAAAGTTTGTTACATTTTTACTAAATTTGTCCTTGTTTACTGAATCCCTCATTAGGATCTTTTCATCCTAATGTTTTAAGACCTCTGTTATACTGTAGAGTTTTTGCCTTATGTTAACTTGCAAGAAATACCCTTTTATCTTATAAGCGTTTGTTGATGTG